CAACAGCCGCAATCACTCAATCTGGCTTTGAATTAATTGAGACATATAATTCACCATATTCTCCAGATACGGCCCTCTGCGATTACCAGCTGGTAAACAATTTTGTGCAGCGTAGCATTAGAAATGCTAAAAGATATACTAAAAATCTGTTATTCTAATGCAGACTATGTTGAAAAACTGAAAACTGAGATATTTGCAGATGTTTTATTGGAAGCAGTCAGTGATGGACCAGAGGAATCTGCCTCGTATATTTAATCCAAAAATAAAAGATGCTCCAACACATTTCGAATTTCAACACATCTTAGTCGATTTCTTAAAGATGATATCGAGCTAATCGTAGATAAAACAATATGAAGAAAAGATTGTTTGCTTATCCTAGTAGCAATGCTTGCCAACGACAGAACATATATGCTTGATCAATTGAAACTCATCTTTGGTCAGGTTAGCCTTGGTCACAACTGTAATCACTTAACTGACATTATTTTTTGCAATGTTACGTCACACTAATCAGTTCCTATCATTTGTAATTGACTGAGATTTTAAGTATTGTGACAAAAATCGCGTTTGTTGTTAACAATTCGTTCAAATGTAATCAGCGGGGGACGCCCAGGGAAGCTTTTTGAATGTCAATGCTCGACCTCAGGTTACCAAAGTAATGAAATGAAATCTACAATGAGAGAAATAGCGAATATTAGACCATCCATCCTTTGGTTCCGATTTATTGCCTAGCGATTTTCACATCTTTTGGCCACCGAAAAAGCTGCTAAAAGTCGTTTTCAGACGGACGAAAAAGTACAAAATACCGTCAACGAATTCTTCGAGCAACAGTCACAATAATTATTTAAGCAGGGAATACATCGATTACTAAAACAATAGGAGATGTGTCTTAATTGTAGTATTTGTAGTAAAACAATAGAATATGTACCTTAATAAACAGGAATCAGTCTCAATGATATAATATACTGTGGACCTCATTTTCAACAATATCTTACAAATATCTTAATAAATTGGAGGTCTTCTGTAAAAGAACCAATAAAGGAGTATTAGTTGTCAGCAGCAACATATCTTACAGGAATTATGTAATGACGAGAAATATCCACTAGCTGCGGAAATTGTTAAACACATCATGTGCCTAGACGGCGTGATCAGAAACGTTGGCTGAAGTTCATCAAGCTCAAACAAAGTTAACAGAAATGTTCAAGAAAGGGGGTTTTGTATTAAGAAAATAGCTTAGTAATAGTCAAGATTTAATGGAAACCATACCTGAGGAACTAAACTAAACTAAAAAGTGTCGATCTCAAAACGTTAGACAAAGAAGATATACATAAAACGCTAGGGATCCACTGGTCACCGGTTGAAGATGTAATTACATTTAAAATAAATATAACCGAACATAAAAAAAATAACAAAGAGGCTGGCGTTTACGCTGAAACAGCAAAAATATATGACCCATTAGGATGGATTGCCTCAGTAATAATGCAATCAAAAATATTCATACAAGATTTGTGGACAAAGAGGGTAAGTTGGGACAAAGAATTGGATAATTCTAATCAAAAACGATGGATTGAGTATTACTCACAGCCAAAACACCTCGAAGAGATAGTAATACCTAGGTGGAATAATCTTACCAATTCAGGGAAAATAGAATTGCACGGATTTGCCGAAGCGTCTACGAAAGGATACGGAGCAGTAATATATACTAGCACTGGACAATTTGGTGTAAAATATCAGAATTGAATTGTTTTTAATGCCCCTTTGTCCGATTCTTCTCGATCGGCGATGGTAAATAAATGGTTGAAGTGTGGAGTAAAAATTATAGTTTTATTGACAGCTACTAATAATTACACTATAGTTGTTGGTTAGGTAACATTATATAATAGACTGTGCTCAAATCCCCAATTTGTAATTTCACAAATAATGTATACCTCAGCACAGAGGTTAATGCTTCGATCATACTAAAAAACTTGGAACTATGAGCTTACAAAACAATTTAATCTAGGCCGTTATTGCAAACTTACGAAGTTCAATTAGAAAATATACTATTTGGCAATTTATTAAGTTTGCAGGTTGAATGGACTCTAATTATTAAAATATTACTCGATATGTTTCACAATGTTTCAATTATACACGGTGAAACTATAAAAGATTAAGAATAATGTGAGATTACAAATTAAGGAATTAATTTGTGATTGGACTACCTGGACCTATTGCACCCTGTATTGATAATGGTTATAAATCAATACATAAAGCATCTCGATGAATAACGCTTAGCTTAAGACTACATTACACAAGCGTTGCCCTATATTTTCCTAACCAAACTAGAACCTAACCCTTTCCTAACCCAAATAGAAGTTATGTAATGACCAGCGCTGACTTCCGACCTAAACCCAATACAATTCATCATAATTTTCATCAGAGCTCGTTACGAGCAAAAGCCTTCTTCAGAAAAATCATCCATTGACCCCTGTCTCTAGCAACTCTTCTCCATGCTCTAACTCCAATAGATTTGAAATCGTCCTGTAGGTTGTCTTGATACCTAAGCCTTGGTCTTCCTCTGTTTTGTTACTTCATCGGCACTTTTCAGTCAAAAACTTTTCTGATTGTTATAGTTTCCTCTCACCTTATTACAGGTCTTATCCATCTAAGGGAGAGCGCCCACCAAAGTGGCGTGGCAGTGGCAAGTAGCAAGTAGCACGAGTCTAGCATAATGTAACCAATGAAAACGAATGATTCAGCGCTCACCAAAATGATAGTGACGTCATTCATTCTAATTTTTTTTTCATTGGTTACATTTAAAAATAACATGCTAGATGCGTGCTACTTGCTACTTGCCACTGCCACGCCACTTTGGTGGGCGCTCTCACTAAGGCTTGCTACTTAAATGAATTTTACAACGGTAGGTTCCCCAAAACTTCTATAGAACTCAAAGTTTAACGCTTGTGCCACAAACCTTGCTCTTTTATTTCTCCATATATATTCTACTTAGGATTTTGCGCTCGAAACGTTTAAAAAATTTTATGTAAGTGGGTATAAGTGGAAAAATAATTTGAAAATATAACATAAGGTAGTAGATAGTAGGACGATATCAAAAGGCAAAAGTAGGTTGCTTGTTATGGTTTCCCTGGATAGTATGTTTCGTAGTAGAGACTTTTTAATTTTACGTTTGGTTTACGTACTCACTTGGCACTACAGTGGAACCTGCTTAATTCGAACTTTAATTCAAAATCTTCTTTCTGGTCCCTAGCAATTCCTATATAAGTAATGGTAAAAAGTCGTAAATAATTCGAATTCAATTTTGGATAATTCGAACTTCTCTGCAAGTTAAAATGCCAATTTTGATGCTGGAAATTTCCGCAAAAAGATGTAGTATTCTTTCGTGTCCTCACGCCCCACTTGTTTCAAGACATTCAAGACCATTGTGCATTGTAAAGGCCATAAATTAGCGGAAATTAAAGAAGTAGAACATGGGACAAAATAAAATCTGAGACTTCCAAGGAATTTGGAATTCCTCCTTCTTCTTCTCGTGCCACTCCTAGCGGAGATTGGAAATCATTATGGCCACTGCGACTTTGTTAGCAGCGCGCCTGAAAAGTTCAATCGAACTACACCCGAACCATTCACGTAGATTACGAAGCCACGATATTTTTCTTCTTCCCACACTTCTTTTGCCCTTAATTTTGCCCTGCATGATGTTTCTTAAAAGTTCGTACTTTTCACCTCTCACAATGTGCCCCAAGTATTTCGCGTAGCACAAGATAATTCACACCTACTCCTTCAAGTAGGGGGATATATGTAGTTTAAGAATAAAGAAAAAAATCTCAAGAGCGAAAGTAAGTGCGGTAAAGAACGAAAATGGTTAAGGGAGCCAGAAAATCCAAATGTGTTTTAAAATGGTTCGAACAAGCCAGGGATAAGGAGATTACCGTAAGCGGTCCCCTTATACGAAGCAAAGTTAAACAATTTGTTGTTGAAATGGAGAAAAACAACTTTAAGGCGAGTACAGGGTGGCTAGATGGCTTCAAAGAATGCAACAAAATTTCATTTAAATCCATTTGTGGAGAAAGTGGAGCTGAAGTTAATCAGCAAGAAGCCAACAAATGGAAACAAATTGGGAGATGATTCAGGATATAGATAAAAGAGAAATCTTCAATGTTGACGAGACGGGTCTTTTTTTTTAAATGCACTCCTGCCAAAACACTGGCATTTAAAAATGAAAAATGTCACGGAGGAAAACTAAGCAAAAAAAGAGTCACTCTCCTAATTGGTGCCAAAATGAACGGATCAGAAGTGCTGCCTCTGCTGATGATTGGTAAGTCGGCTAATCCGCGTTGTTTTAAGAACGTCAAGTCAAAACCAGTGGAATATATGTGCAGCGTTAGCAAAGTTAGTTGGTTTATTGACAACTGTACGGCCTACAACACTATTACACTAATGGAAAATGTAAATGTAAATGGAATTTTTTTTTCCTGCCAACATGATTTCAGTTCTCCAGCCTATGGACCAGGGCATCATAAAAAATCTTAAAAATTTTAACCGACTTTTTTAGTTGAACACATATTGACGGAAGATTGGCCGAAAATACCAATGAGAACACCTGCCATAATGACAATAATTGATCATTTTTATAGCTTGCCAATGTTTTAATTGGTAGTCTTGGCCGAATTTTGTTTGCCCATTTTTTTCGGTTAAAAAAATTCGGGCAAGAATAGGAACGTAACATCTGCAAAAGTGTGCAAAAGATTTTTATCGTTTGCAGAAGCTTTTGAAGCACTGTTTTTATAAATATATTTTTAATACGAATATTTGGATAATTCGAATGATTATTTAACGGTCCCCTTAGATTCGAATTATCCAGGTTTCACTTTACTAACAATAACTTAATGTAGACCCATTAAGATTACGTAAATTTATTCGTTTAGCTTATCAAAAATTTTGCGGTTAATTTCTTTGAGTACTGTATTATTTTTAGAAAACAATTACTATTTTAGGAAGGTACTTACCAGAATAATCACTGCGACGGCAAACACAATCAGGAATTTTCGATCAGTGGGTGTCCGATTTTCAGGCCTTTCTGGAATTTCGATGTTGTCCAAGAGAGTATTCGTCGGCAGTTTCTTGAACACAGCCAACTAAAATAAAAAAACCTAAATTTATTACATTAAAATAGTAAAGATGGTAACTATACGTTTACAATAAACAATACTGGGTATCAATATAGTTTGTGATCATATTTTTTAAGCGCTTCGTATGGGATGAATCTTGTATCTTCTGGTATGGAAGAGTCTGCGGTAACCGCACGTACTTTGCGTTTTCTGAATTTATCTATATGTTTACCACTAAAGGTGGACCTTCTCTTAACACGACACACATATTTTCATATATTGCAGGTTTTCTGCGCCATGATTTGGATAAATGTTGTACTGGGCCAGAGTCGTTAAAACTGTACAGTAAAAATGGACATGGTTAGGAGTTCAAAGAGAAACTAGAAACCGGTAGGCGTAACACGCTATGAAAACCAGATGGAAAAATACTAACAGTACTAACTCTGGTTGTGAGAATTATGTTAGGATATAAACAATACACAATAATAATACATCGTATAACCAAAAATTGCTTTAACACGTTAAACGCCATAAGCAAGTGTGCATCTCAGGCACTGAACTTACTGACGCCATGAGAAGCACCTTTGTATCTCATACCATTAGTGTATTTCAGGCTACGTGGTACATCCCCACTTCACAGTACCCATTCATTTATTTGGAATACAGTTTCTCAGTGGCCTGATAAACCCTTTTATATATTTAGCCTGAATTTGTAGGATACTCATCATCACAGTCATTAACATCTTAGTAGATGTGTTGTGGTTCATAATTGGGCTTTTCAGCAGCTCGGACAGTTTGATTGATAATATTTCTCCACTGGTCGCGGTCATCAGTTATATGTATTGCCTCAGTATACTGTTTATTGAGAAGCTTTTTAGTAATGTCCGCCCATCGCTGTGGAGATCTTCCGCGTTGGCGTTGAGTCTGAGGCCTTCCTTGGACCACCAACCGCTCCATTTTGTGATCACTTCGATGGATATGGCCAAAGAACTTTAAAATTCTAGAGTAAACGGTACTGGAGAGACGCTGATCCGGTTTAATTTCATCCAGAACCGAGATATTTGTACGGCGAGCCGTCCATGGAATACGAAGTAGGCGTCTCCATGTCCACATTTCAAAGGCGTCTATACGTCGTCGATCTGATTCTTTGACTGTCCATGTCTCGCATGCATAGTAAAATATGGAAAAGACCAGAGTTGAAACGAGTCTCTTTTTGTTTGTCATAGTAATGTGACGATCACGCCAGACCCCGTTTAGTTCACTCATTGCTGCTCTTGCTAGTTAAATGCGTCTTCTAATTTCGGATTCACAACTGCCTGTGTTGTTAACTAGAGCTCCAAGATATATCATAGATGAGACTACCTCGCATCCCGCAATAGTTTGGGTTTCAGGAAACTGTTGTTGGCGATCAATAACCATGATTTTGGTTTTGTTGTAGTTAACCATGAGTCCAAATTTAGCACTTTCTACCTCGAGTTTTTTTAATAATTTAGTAATTTCTTCTGGAGTAGAGGCTAGAAGTGTAGTGTCGTCTGCGAAACGCAAGTTAGATATCTTAACACCACCTAGGTTTACTCCTCCCTCCCAACCATCCAAAACTCTGCGCATTATGAACTCCGAATAGATGTTAAATAATAAGGGAGATAAAACGCATCCTTGGCGTACTCCCTTCTCCAAAGTGCATTTGTCAGACAGGTATCCGTCCATTCGAATATATGCCAGGTTATCTTGATACAGTTTGCTAATAAGGTGAGTCAAGTGTTTAGGTACACCCATTGTCGTCAATATGTTCCATAGTTTGTCCCATCTAACATTATCAAAGGCCTTTGTATAATCGACGAAACATACAAATATCGGGATCTGGTATTCTCTGGCTTTTTCTATGATGTTTCGTACATTAAGGATTTGTTCTCTAGTACCTCTGCCCTTTACAAATCCAGCCTGCTCAGGTGCTATTTGCCAACTTATGAAATTTTCTAGACGCCGTTGCAGTATGTAGAGGATCACCTTACTGGCGTGTGATATTAGAGCTAATAGCCTGTAGTTGTTACAATTATTTGTTGAACCTTTCTTATGAAGATGTATGATTATGGTCTTTATCCAATCCTCAGGCCAGACGCCTGTGTGCCATATTTCATTGCACAATCGATGTAATATTTTCACTCCACATTCCGGAAGATGCTTCAAGACGTCTGCAGTAATGAGATCATATCCTGCTGCTTTGTTTAACTTAAGTCTTTTTAAAGCGAATTCCACCTCGGAAAAAAGTATGTCAGGTTCAGACTCAAAACTAGTGTGGTGTGTCTCTGTTGAAGGAGAATGGAAAGTGGAGGTCTGGCAGTCAGGTACAAACGGGGCGTCCGCTGGCATCTGGTCCGTATTGGAGTATAAAGACTTACAATACGCCCTCCAAACATCAATAACCTTGTCCAAATCCGTCTGTACATTACCTTCATCATCTTTGATAGGCCAAGATTTCTGCTTGAATTTACGTGTGAGTTGTCTGACTTTATCAAAGAGTTCTTTGGTGTTATTTGTGTCGGCGCGTAGTTGAATTTCTCTACAGATTTTCTCTATATGCTTGTTTTTGTCTCGTCTACAAGCAGCCTGAATAGCTCTAGATAGCTGTCGGTACTGGGAATTCCTGAGAGGGTTCTCGATTCCAGCAATTTTAAGTTTTCTACGTTCTTCAACAAGGTCAAAAGTATCTGCAGACATCCACACTTTTTTTGGTCCGGTTGAGACGGCATTAGACTGTGCCTCGCAGTCAGTCAAGGTCTGTATCAAGGTATTTTTAAAAGATAACCAAATTTTTTCGGAATCATGAGTGACGATAGTTGGTAAAATATTTTCGAATCTTTCATTACATTGGATTTTAAATTGTTGTGTATCTTTTATTTTTGATATGGGATTTTATTTTGATATTTAGATTGATATTTAGGATACTAGTGTCTAGCAATAAAACAATATGTTATTATGTAGTTTGAAATTAGTTTTATTTATATATAACGTAAACAACTGTTTTTTAATGCAAAAGATCAGTAAATGTTCCTTAAAAATTAGCAATATGTACATGTTTCTAGTTAAGAAATAAATGAACAATATAATATTTGCGTATATACAAATTTCTATAGATTACATGAATGAACCTCGCAAAAACACGTGATACAATAAAATTTATCGCACTGAATGCACCTGAAACGGGAAAAGGGAGTTTTAGTCTGTGCAAATTGTCTACCATTATCTGCTGAATTGTTTGCATAACATGTGACACATCTTCTGGCCGAACTTTGCACTTCCTCCATATGGTGACCTTCACGAGCATGTGGCATATGTTGCTCTGGATTAGTTAGTCTAGTGAAATCTACAAGTTGCCAAACCAACTCTTCCTTGAAAGATGTGATGGACAAGTTAGTGTTGGTTACTTTTTGATAAATTATATAGGCGTTGACAATAGCTGACCCTAAAAGGAGCTCAATTGCCATTTTACGATACCATTTCACTGATTTTCGTAATGCTGTAGAGTAAGCCTTTAGTTAATTATGGTTATACAGAAGAATCCTCAAGATACCATGGACAGACAAAGTCACCAATGAAGAAGTACTGCGGAGGATGAACACAACCGCGGATTTGGTCAACATTGTGAAGAGCCGTAAGCTGGAGTACTTGGGACCTATAATGAGAAATCAAGGCAGATACGAGCTACTCCAATGCATTTTGCAGGGTAAAATTGAAGGAAAAAGAACCCCAGGCCGAAGAAGAATATCCTATCTTGCTAACCTGAGAGCATGGTATAGAAAGACCTCCACACAGCTATTTCGTATAGCAACCAACAAAATCATCATAGCCAGAATGATCGCCAACGTTCGGAACGGATAGGCACCCTAAGAAGAAGAAGCCTTTAGTTGATCGGATATATCTATAAATCCTTTGCTCTTATTGTAGTCGACAACAGAAACTGGCTTTTCAACAATTCCTCCCCTTTGATGGACGTCTACCATTTCAGCAGTATGCTTTGGACTCAGCATAAGCACTTCGCGTTTGTCCTTCCACTTAGTTATTACTGTGTTATTATTACCTGTGTTACTCTCCATCCCAATAATCTCCCCTTTCTTTAATTTTGCACCTGTCACTTCTTTCAGATTAAGTTTCCTGTTTTGCCTCAAAGTTCCCACCAAATTTGTATTTTTGTTTAGCAACCTATGTGCTAATGTAACGCTAGTATAAAAATTGTGTATATAGTACATACAACTTTTAATATTAAGCTAAACTTAAGTTATTAGCTAAACTAAACACAACACTATCCGGAACTGACATATTTTTAGTTTTATCATTACCACAATAAATTTGTAGATCATAAGTATAACCTCCATCCAAACAGAGTTTGTATACGTTCGCCCCGAATTTATGTCTCTTGTTTTTGATATACTGCCGAAATGACAGTCGGTCCCTAAACCGAACTACAGTTTTATTATCAATGCAGAGTTCTTCCCACGGCACTACCACTCTCTGAAAATTTGATATCAATTTCTCCAATAGGGGTGATAGTTTATACTGTCGAAGTCCTTTATCACTATTTTCATTGTCACTAAAGTGTAAATTGGCAAGTAATAATTCAAAACGATTACGCGACATAAGACAATTTACTTTGCTTTCGTATAATGAATCTTTTGACCAATACGGGCACAACTTTGGCAATCTTTGCAATCCCATCCAGACAAGTATGGCCAAAAATGACTTTATTTCTTCGGTATTTGTATCTACCCACTTATGAATTCTAGCTTTTGGACAGTGACTACCTATATTCATCTTTTGATGTGCATATCGATTAGTTTCTTGCACAATCCAATCAATAATATCGTCATTCGCAAATGGTTGAAAAAAGTCAAGGGGAGTTTTATCATACATCTCAAAAAACTCGGCTTTGATACCAGAGTCTTGAACACTGAATCTAATGTTTTTCAAGTTCTGACCATTTACCATATTCCATAAAAAGGGCTGATTATGATCAATCACAATGTCATCGT